TGCTTTTCTCATGGAATGTTTGGTTGATTGATAAGATATAACTAGTTCATGAATTAGATGTCATTTGAAATAGAATTAGAGAGGTGATTTCTATTTCTATAATTTCTGTTGAGATGGTATGAATTCCAGGCTGAAGGAATAATAGTACACAAAAAGGTATGAGAACTGGGAGTACCCCGGGTGTTGTACTGACTTTTCCAATTTGACTGGAGATATGGATACAGCCAAATGACGCTGTGGGAAATACTTGACAGAGCACCATACAGGGGTCAGTGACAGGGTGCTGAAGTTATGGGCCTTGCTGGTTGATTACCTAGACCCTTCCAGGTCCCTAATTCCTATCCTATAGATAAGGGAGTTGAAATGGAAAGTCTTTAAGTTGCATCTCAGTTCCAAAAGTCTGTGCTTTACTATGTCACATCATCAACTCAAGGAAAAGCCATAAACAGCTTGTGTGAAAAGTAGCTTAGGGAAAAAGTTTAAAAGCTTTTGATTTTCTGATGGCAGGAAAAAAGTCATTTCAAGAGGATTATATAACTATGTTGAAAGATCCTTCCTGTGAAGCCTGCTCTCTCTTGCTCTTGTTTCTTACCATGTGAAAGACAACATAGAAAGTCAAGGCATCTTGTCCCATATCCCACCTCACTCCCGACCCCCGGTTAACTATTTTTCTTTTGTTAGCTGATAGAGGGTCTAAGAATTAAAGGCACTGCTGGCCAAAGAAAGCAGCCCAGAGACTACAATATCAAGAACCCAGAGATTTAGCAAAAATCCTGGGAAGGGTTGATCTCAATATTTAAAGTCTGAATCAGAAAGACATACACTAATCAAACCCATGTTTGAGAATGAACATTTATTCTTAGTCAAATGTTTGCCACTACTTCCATGTACCAGAAACAGTGTCAGAGGAGACTAATTAAGTTCTAACTCCTTACTGCTACATGACAATGAAGGTCAAGCATGGCTTTTCTTTCCATTGTTTCAAGAGAAGTAAGAAATAGGAATTTTTTGTCAAATCTACTTATTGTTGGTAATTTCAAAAACAAAACAAGAACAAAAAGTTATTCAAGGCCTATGCAGCACTGGTCTGAACTTGGGTGAGAAGGTCGTACAGGATGGAAGTAAAAAACTTTAATATAATTTTAATAGGACAAAGAAGGGCTAGTCACTCAATGTGGAAAGAATACTTAGCATTTAGGAAAAGGGGAAGACCTCAAAGAGTTGTCATTTTAGCTGGATTTTATATAATTTATTATAGTTCAATTGCATTTATAAAGTAATATGTTGTACAGAAATGTATGGATTTAGATAATTGCATGTAGACAACTTTAAATATGAATGCTAAAACATCAGAGAAGTTCCCTTAGTTCCAGGAGACAGAACCTAAATGGTAGGTTCAGGTTTGCTTATGTTTTATGTATTTAGAGAAATGGAAATTTAGAACTATGAAAGACTTTAGAGCTGACTTAGTCCTGAACTTAATTTTCAGTTAATAATAATATTTAACACTGATATTGAAATACCTACTTATTAGTAACTATTCTAGACATATTCCCTATATTCAGGCTAATATGCAAATCAAAGTGCAGGCCCTACCAGCCACTGACCAGATCTGTCACCTGGGAAACCCAGGGACCTCAGTTTTGTAAAAAATGAGATAAAAACTCCTACTTCAGAGGGCTTTTGTGAGGAGAAAAAAGAGTAGTATTTTTTTTAATGTTGTAATATAACTTTGATTCTTGGGAATGAACACAACCAAAACTGGACCATATTTTCACCTTTGCTTGAGCATCAAAGTTTTGGGGCATACCATTAACTAAAATAGAAGAGAAGGCTCTAGTATAAAAGACCAAAGATTCTACTTTAGCCACTTTAAGTAAAAGATGTCAATTTAACCATAGACTTTTTGAACAAGTGCTACTTAGATACTCATCTGTCAAATAAAGTAAAATATACTAAGAAGTGAGCAGCATTGGTTGATGTATAAGCAATTAGGAATCATAAAAGTAAAATACTAACTTTATGCAGGTTAAGGAAATATTAAAGTGTTTTTTAAAAGAGCAGCATAATATGCATTCATTTATTTCTTTAGTTGTTTTTGTTTTATCAGTGCTCCTTAAGGGTAGTTTAAAAATAATATATTAGCCTACTACCTATAATATGAACATTCACGGAATATTAAAGCTGAAGCGTATTTAGAGATCATCTAGTTCAAATACTATATCCTAAAGATGGAAACATGCTTCAGGAGAGTAAGTGGCTTGATCAATGTGACACAGATGGTAGATGGAAAGAATACACAATGCAAATGCCTTTAAACACTTAGCAATGCTGAAATACTTACCATTTTATATGAGCTTCACTTTGCAGGAAATATACAATACAAATTCCCAAGGTCAAGTTGAGATTCTCTTTATTTCTACACATTTCATAAATAAATATGATGCCTATATGTTACAGAGTAGAGATGAAGGCCTTCCCTGTTCATAAATTTCATAATTTTTAGTCACTTCTTATACACACACACACACACACACACACACACACACACATATATATATATATATAAATTCAGATTACACACAGGCAGATCCCTTAGGTACAAAGACAGTTTTCAACATTTATTAAATATTTGTGAGATAATATTTGAGATAAAGGAGAAAAAAAACAGGTGTTTAGAGAGGAACATGTACTGTACTAGAAAGTACCTCTGGTAGATAAATACTCTAGCCATGGAACTAATGTCAGTGTCTCATTCATAAAGCAAATGTTTATCAGGCTCTGACAACACATACAGCTCTGTGCCTGGCACACAGGACGTTTTCAACAAATGGGATGTAAGATCATATTGCAATGGGGAAGAAGAACTGGAATAGCTTCTCAGTCTCCCAACACTGAGTACAATTCCCCATCCTGCCAACCTGTTCAAGACTTTGGAACTTAGGGAGGGAGGAAGAAGTAATGGGAACAAGAGGCAGAGAAGGGCGAAAAGGAAATAGAGGGAAAGCAAATTAGGCCCAGATTTGTTTATGACCATTCCACTTTTAAATATATATTTTTAAAAATACATTAATATTCTTCATTCCCTCATTTAAAACATTGAACATTCATGTGTCCTGAGGCACAGTCATTAAAATACGTTGAAACAAAAATGACTAAATTAGTTTTATTTTTCAATTATATAATTTATGGGAGAATATATTCAAAAGAAAATTTCTAAACTTGGCTGGCAGGAAGAATTGGTTTCAGTTTTAGAGATTATTAACTAATAAATTAAATGGAAATGGTCCTAAGTTTCCTTCAGCCAAGATATCATGGTTTTTGGATCATGTTTTCCAAGAGTTTTTAGAAATCTTAATGATATCTCTGACTGCAAAATTTTAGCATTTGGCATTCTCATTCAGCCAAAGGCTGTGCAAAACTTGATGTGGCTAAATAATTCTCTAGAAAGGATAATCCTAAGACACTTAACAGCTGGGTGAGTTCAGATGTGTTCATAGAGCCAAGGCTTACCCCAAAAAATAAACTTGGGAGGGACTAGGGCAACATTTTCAATATAATTGTCATATTTGTGGCAAGGGATAAATATTGAAATGCATTCTTCCTTAACAAATTATAGTCGATAGATTTTAATTATCTATAGCTGTTTTTATCTATATAATTAAAAAATATTTTGTTTCTGAAGTTCAGAGACTGTGAAACGGGGAAAGGCACAACCCTGACTTGAGATGGGAAGAGTGTACTAACTCAGTCCCTGTTCCAGGTGTTCTTTTAGGAGTCTTTCTCATTTTTATCACGTTACAAATCTTGACACACTGTTATCTAATCATGTAACTCATAAAAGTCATTATTTGATACAATAATACCTTCCCCCCACTGGATAATTCTGAGTCTTGGGTCTATTACTACACTTACTGATTTTCTGGGTAACCTGTTGTGAGTGGAACAGAGGATATACTTGAAGAATATTTGACTGGCCCCTCCTCTCCTGCTGCTATATAGGATGGTTTCTTCCTAAGTCACAAATCTATTCTGAATGTTAATTAAATATTTACAAAGTACTTTAAAATCCTCCCTGAATTCTAATATGAAGATAACAAACCACATTCCTTTGAATAAGCAGAAATTTTTGCCCTCCCAAATTAAGGGCCCCTGAGTTTAATTTAAATCAATTCGGTGACTTGAGAGGAAAAAAAAGTTGAGCACCTACTATGTACAAAGACTGTGCCAGATGTGGAGATAAAAGTAAACTTTCCAGGACTAGAAATCTGTCAGAAATTACAACATTTCATATTATTTAATTCACATCATTTCCCTCTGGGCTTAGAAACTAAATTAAATGCAAAACACCCACCTTTTTAGCATTAAGCTTTTACATTGCTCCTTAACATACAACACTGTACCTAGTTACATAAAGATGCAGAATTTTCTATATATTAACATATTATTTCACATTTTATTCATTAGGTTTTTGAAAGTATTTTAGTATGAAGTTTCCATTTATTATATGCAAAAACAAAAATAGCATCAAAGTCTTTTTGTAACTCACCAAATACTGTTAGGGAATAATGATCATATGCTAAAAAAATGTAAAATGCAATTTGTGCTGTGCCCCACTTACTACAAAATCACTATGAACAATGCATTTTGTACAGTATATTGCTCCAGGGAAACTGGATCAGCATCAGGAATGAATAAAGAACACCACATTTGAAATCAGCTAATTCTGCTTCAGCGCTTTTAAAAACTATTTGTTATGATATTACTTCCTGTCAAGCACATAATATGGCATTTTCTTCAATAAAACTAAACAGTTGCTGTAATTTTGGCTTCCCTCATTTTCCACTTTTTAAGCACTAAATATTTAAACAGTGCAGACCTGGAAGTCTCAAAGCCAGTCATCTGATCCACGCATCTCCTTGCTTAAGGTATAGTAAGTATCCATGCGGGGCCTGTTACATCACTCCAACATACTTAGTGGCAGCTGTCAAAGTCCTTACCTGCCCGCAGGCCAGGCCCATTCCTCTTTCTCCCATGCCATGTGGACAGGATAAATTTAACTCCAGGGCATCTGCTCCAGAAGCCTTTAAAACATAGAAGGAAAATGAAAGAAAAGGCAAAGCTTTATCTGTATACCAATACGCTTTCACTTTTGATAACCCAACAAAGGTCACATTTGTCAAATCTTAACTATTCTGTTTTCTGCCTCACAGCTATGTTGTAATGTATATTTTAACTCTCTGAAATTAAGGTGTATATAACAACAACAATAACAAGAAAATATTTATTGAATGCTTATAAGGGGCCACTCACTGCTCTACATGCTTTTATTTGTTTATCCCTAATTCTCATAATCCTTGCATTATTATGATACCAATTGTACAGGCACAAGGGAACTGAAGCATAGGGAGGCCAAATGACAAGACTGATTATTAGGTGACACAGTGGAGATTTCAACTCAGATCTGTTTGACATCATTTATTCTTTCCTAAACAGCTTCTATTTTTGTGAAAAAATAGAAATAATAATAAGAAATCTTAATTCTGGATAATTTGATACTGGGAGTAAGCATGCAAAGAAAAATGTAGTTGGTTAGCTAGGCTGAATAAGTAAAATTAAAAATATTTTTAACCAAAAATAAATTTTAACCTATTTAAAAATAGCTCATGCTAAGAAACATGAAGTATTGATAGTTTTGTCTTACTTTAATTACTAAATAGGAATCCTTCTTATTTAAATCATTAATCCCTTAGCATACAAATAGATATTGTCAAAATGAACAAAATAATTCACTGTAAGTATTCTCAGAATACTTTAAGAATCTTAGAATTCTTCAAAAGTCTTCTTTGAAAAACTTTAAGAATAAACAAAATACTTTTGAAATTTTACTATAGTAACTGAGGGATGGGAGATAAACTAAATGATTCAAATTTTATATTCTTTGACCTAATTTCTAGAATTTCTCCAATGCCACAATTTTTTTTTGAAATAAGGCTGACTAGAAACTTGAATTAGTTTCAATAATATAACATGTCTATTACATCCTGCAATGGCTTCATTTTCACTATTTTCTATGTGCACTGCACCTTTCTTTAGGCCAATAGTTGTTTCTTCAAGGTTTCTCTTTCCTTCCTGATTATTCAAGATTTTAGCCTATTTTTTCCTGCTTTATGAATTTTCCATAGGATCTCAACGAACTTAACAACTCCAGTTAGTGTTAGCTATTGCTCAGTTGACTTTCTTGCCCATATTTATTCATTAGTGACTCTGCTTTTTCTTCTGCACATTTGTGAAAGTCCATTTGATCATTGGACCATGTTTTCTAACATGGTCTCATTATGGTTTTTGCTTCCCTAATCCAATTTTAAAACACTTCATGTTATTTGAAAATTACTGTAAATCATGCTACTTTTTTCCTGCCGGTTTGATAATGAGCACGGACAAAGCACAGCCTGCTGAACTCTGAGATCTAAACGTAGGTCCGTGGCTAAGGAACTGGGGATGCTTTGGGCCAGTCAGGTAACTTTCTTTGTCTTCAGCTGCTTAAGTGTACACTGTAGATAATACGACCTGTCTCAAAACACTGTCATGTGGTAATTATCAGCTTAATTAAGAGATTGTACGTTGCAATTATACACAATACTGCACGTTTCTTATTATTTCTTAGTTACTTCAAATATTTCCTTTAGACTCATTTATTTAGCTTGTAATGCAGCAATTAATAACAAATCGATTCAACAGTATCTTGGATTATATAAGCTTTAGGTGTCACTTGTATACATATTTACATTATGCATATTTCATTGCAAACTTACAATTGGCTACCACAGCATCTAATAATAGCTAACATTAATTAAGCATTTACAATATGCCAGGTACTTTACTACGTCCTCTGTACATTTTATTTTACGTTCACTCTTACAACGAATCTAAGAGAGAAGATATATTATTATTCCCATTTACAATTGATAAATTCGAGGCATAAAAGTTCAAAGGATTTACTCAACATCCCACAGCTTATAACTCAGAGTACGGTCTTAAACCTAAGTATTTTGAGTCCAGAGCCTATATTCTTACCCAGTGCTATAATTTGTTGGAAATCACTTATTCTATGGCCGGACTTGTTGTAGTGTGTTAAGAAAAACATAAGAACTTGATATCCATATAGCTTCTCAGATTGAAATAAAAATTAAAATCTTCTAAAAATCGTCTATCTAATATAAAGTCTTCTCAGTGACTAATTATTAAAATTTCCCCAACATTATATAAATATACGAACACCCACCCACCAAACACACCTGGAAAGGCCTTTGCAATGAGCATATAAACTTCAAAAACTGAGACACAGCTGCTCATGGTGACACCAAGAGAGCAGGAACATTCATGTGGCCTCTGCTTGAATATTCCTATCACAGGACGCATGCCACCTTAAATGGCAGTTAATTCCATTTCCAAGCAACTAAAACCATTTGAAAAGCCTTAATTGCTGAATTAGCATGAAATGCTAAATTAATTGAAACTGGGCATGCATTCTGACTCCTGTTAGTCACAAGCTTTTTAGTTGAGTCACTTAGCTCAGAGTTTATTCTACCTCACGGAAATGATTATAAACTAAAGTAACCTAGTGACGGCAGAAACAGAGGAAATACATTATTTCTAATTTCCTACATTATCTGTTTATCATCCATCCATCTATATGAAGTAGAGTGTAGACTCTGGAACCAGATTTCATGGGTTTGAATTCTATTTTTATCACATCCTCGCTGTGTAAACTTGAATACATTATTTAATTACTTCTGCGTCAGCTTCCTCATCTCAAAAAGGTGGAAAACAATGGTACTAAATCATAGGGTTGTTTTTGTAAGATATAAATACATTTTATAAAAGTAAATGACTTGGAACAATGTCTGGAATGTAGTAAAGTCTATAAAAGTATAAGCAAATACTATCTATCTGTCTCTCTATCATCTATCTAATTATCTATCTACCCATCCATCCAGCTAGAACCTTTGACTCACCTTTCCTCTCCCTTGATCTGAAAAGGATTTAAGATAACTCACCTTGCCCTACATTAGCTATACCTCATTGGAGAAAAGAAAAGGAAACTATTTTGAGCAATTCTTGGAATAGTGGCAATGGTGTAGTTTCTAAAATTCTCTGAATCACTTTATAAAAACTCTCAGAGAGACGAGAGGTAAAACCACAAACACTTGTACAATACATACAACAAAATCAGCTCTAAAGTTCTTCCTTCTCCTTTCCTTACCTCTCCCTTCCTTTCCCTTACCTTCCTGATCAGTGCAGTTTTAAAGTCACTGGGTGGGGCACAGCAAGGTAGGTGACTTGGAGCATCTGAGGAGCAGCCACCTAGGCCCAGTGAGGGGTGTCAGAACCCTGGCAAAGCGAGAAGGATGTCTACTGGAGGGGACACGGTTTGGTGTATCAGAGCCCCAGTGGAGAGGGAAGGCTTCCATAGGCAGTGGGGGCTGGCAGAGGACATCAGCACTCCAGCAGGGTGAGGACAGGGTAGCATGGTGGAGCATGAAAGACACAATTCTTCGATTCTTTCATTTCTTCTATTAAAGGGATACATGGGATCATATGTTGACTTTCTAAGTAGAAATTCTGTCATCCAGTCTCATTATCCAAAACTGGAGATACAAGTTCTCCGGGATGTTAAACCTCTTTGAGGTAAAACACTGAACTAGCCTGGGCCCCACAGGACACAAAATCTCTCATCTCCACCTGGTGTCCATCTCACCAGATTCCATTCTGTCCTGTTTACCATCTCTGGTCAGGGACTTATATCCAGCTGGACCTACATATTTCTATAATGTGCTTCTGTCTGCTTCTGACCCCAGCTTATTTGAGATTTCCTAACTCTAACACCTATTTAATTTCATGACATACTGCTGCCTGGATCCAGGTAAAAAAATGATAAGAACCTGGGTAATAAGCACTGTATTTTGACTCTGCAAACAATACTGTAGCCACCTGGTTTTGGTACTTGTACCTCTTTACTGGGTCTTCCTTATATGGTCCTACTAATTAATGATGGTCAGACCCTTGTCAATCCCTTATCAAGTACCTGACTTAAAACCATCAGCTTTGGATCTTAACCATTTCAAGCTCATTGTTGCCAAATAAAGTACTACTCTTCCCAGTTATGCTGAGATGACTTCCTTTTCTTTGTTACGTGGCAATATCAGAATTCTGTACCTCTTTTTTACTTCATTCAACAAATATTGTTGGTGGGCAAAGCCCTGTGCTTGGAATTGGTGATTAAGCTGTGAGCCAGACAGGGGTCTCCATCCCCAGAGAGCTTGCTTTCTAGCAAGCAGAACAGAGTAACCACTAGTAATGGCTAATGACACCATTTAAATCACTGCATTATTAAATGCTACAGATGAAAAGCAAAGGCAGAGGTAGATCCAGATTTTGGGGAGCTTCACTAATTTTGAAAATCCTCCTTAATAAAAAATATAATTAAAATTTGTAAACACAAAATTAGATACAGGGACTTGGACATAGCCTGTGCAAGTAAGTGCCCCGAAGCTTCACCTTCATTAACTTTATGGTAAACTGGCCTCTGAGGACAGGATCTTAGCATGTAGGACAGGGAGGTTTAACCTACCTAGCCGGAGGACTCTGGGGTGAGGAAGAGAGAACATTCCTTGAGGAAGAGAGAATATTCCTGGCCCAGAGAACAGCAAGGCTCTGAGCTGGAAATGTGGCAGAGGAGTAAAAGAAGGCAGTGGGAGCTGGAATATGGAGAATAAATCCACGGTGACACCGGGGAAGCAGGCAGGGGCCAAATCTTACAGCAGTTAACAGTCAAATTAAGGGTTTTGAATTTAGGAAAAATGGAAAGAATTTGAATTGACTGAGAGCAAGAAGATCAGTCAGCTGTTGTAGATAAACTTGGATTAAGGTGGTAACGATGCATATTGGGCCACATTCAATTTTACATTTCTTCAAATTTGATGGCCTTATTTGTCACCCAGACTTTTGCAACCAGCTCAAAGGGAGCCCCAATCCCTGCTGCTATCCTCACATCTCCTATAGTAAATGTCAGCTCTCATGG